TATATATATATATAGGTACATTGAAACCCTTTGGGAGTACTTTTGGTATCTTGTTGAAATATAAGGATATCATTCTCCTTTTCTCTATTTCTTTCTCTAATACTTCTTCAATTCCTATTGGAGTATTTCATTTTATTAGTTTTACAACAGACATATGTATGTGATATTTTTTAAATAGTAAAGAGCGTGGTATTCGTTTTAATTATGGGCTTCTCGCAGGTCAGTGCGTGGGTGACGTTCTCCTTTTCGGAAAGCTTATGCAAAGCCCACTACCAGCGTACGGATTGGGCTCCAGGTATCTGTTAATTTTGTCTGTCGCCATAAAAAGAACAGGCGCTGGTCCATAATTTCCACCTGAGCCGCATTTGAATAGAGAGAGAGAGAGTTTAGATCCGTTAACGCATTAGTGGGCCAGATATTCCGTCCCCCACCGGCCATCTCTCCCACTGATGAACAACTTAAATTGGAGATTTAGAGACAGAATTTTCTTTTCGTTTCTTTTTTTTGCTTTCATATTTTAAAAAAAAAAAAAAAATTTCTGAGCAAGATAGACACTCAATTCTTGCAGTTGAATTAGGTCTCCAATCGTTGTCATAGTCAAACCATGTAAATTCGGAAAAAGGTAGTTAATTAGCTTAGGGAAAAAGTCATCAGCGTCCAAGGCTTAAACAAGATTTTCACATGTGAGTTAGTGGCAACAATTACAATCCCACCATTTCAGAAATCAGAATAAGCCACCGCCATTTTACTCGAGCAATTCTGGACCTTTTCTCTTTTGCCCTAACCTGAAATTTACGTCTGCAAAGTCAAACTCGGTAGTTACAGTTTACAAGTAAGTCAATATGATGATAGTCCAAAGACACGCATTATTATTTTCTTCTTTCTATAGAGACCAAAAGAAAAGAAAAGAAAAGAAAAGAAAAATGCTACTGTGATATTTGCTACAAACAAAACTGTGTATTAGTAACCCTTTAACAAGACTTCGTAATGGTACAACAGTTTGTAAGGTGCTGCCTAAGAGAAGACATATATTATTATTATGTTCATCTCTCTTCAATCTTCACAGTACAGTCTGTAAAGAATTATTATTGCTTTTCGGGCGAAAAAGCATGCCACTTCACTGCTAAATCTACGATGTGCTTCCCAATACTAATAGATTAATGTGAGAACCCAATTTCATGAATTTTAGAAGCTGCTCATGATGACGATGTTGGCAATTAATGCTTGGCTGTTGGGGTGTATAATGGGGGGAGAAGTGATCGGGATGAGGCAGCTTAAAAGCTAGCACAGGATTGGACCGGTTACAACAATGCCAAAAATTTTCTTGGCTGGCTGCAAATAAAATATTACCACCAGCTTTGTCATAAAACAATGCGAAAACGAAATCCCATCAAATTTTGAAAAATGAGCACAGATTGGATAGGGGTGAAAGGTAAACGGTATATTGTTGTATTGTCTGCATAAGAGCCAGCTCCAAGCATGGTTCTGGTGCTTGCAATATTTGGTATCATCATAACGGACACAAGAACGTTTTTTTTTTTTTTTTTTTTGCCCCGAGGATAGGGGTGCAAACGAATCGAGCCGCTTGCAAGTGGAGCTGGTTTTTATGGTGCTTGCTCCAAGCATGGTTTTGGTGCTTGCAATATTTGGCATTATCATGACGGACACAAGAACTTTTTTTTTTTTGGTGCCCCGAGGGTAGAGGTGCAAACGAATCGAGCCGCTCGCGAGCGGCTCGAGTCGAGCTCGAGCTGGTCGAGTAAAAAATCGAGCTCGAGCTCGAGCTCAAAACATTAAGTTCGTGCTCGCGAGTTCGAATATATATATATATATATATTTTTTTAATAGTAAAATTACATAAATATCCTTAATAGTTTATTATTTATTAAGAAAAAATATTATTTTATTTATTTTTAAAAAAAATAAAATAATTATTTTTAAATTTTTCGAGCTCGAATTCGACTAGAATTCGAGCTCGAGCTTAAAAATTGCCAGCTCGTCGAGCTCGAGTTTGAGTTCGATGAAATTAAGTCAAGACTTGACTCGATAAGGCCAAAACTCGACTCGACTCGACTCGTTTGCAGCCTTGTCGGGGGGTTCACCGTTGAATTATGAAGAAAGAAGAACATCTCAAATTCTGGCACAGAATTGAAGGATTAGGAAGAAGTGTGTTGTAATAGCAGCACAGGCAACTATTTCATCTTTAGGTCAGCGCATGAAAAATAGAGTAGCTGTGTATATTTGTGTTTGGTTAAGGGGAATCAGAGTAATTCTCCCTTTTGACTTTCAGTTTAAATGTCTTCTATCTAATTCCTTATCCAATTCTATATTGATTTTAATTTTAATTGTACATCTGATTATCAATTATATATATATGTATATATATATATTAAATTTTGGACCAGCGTGGGGCGGTTGCATGAACAGAAATTTATAATACTACTAGAATATGCCCATTTACTGGAGTTGGAGAGAAGGGGCCAGACAGAAACAGAAGTATTCAATAATATGTTTTAGTTACTCCCCATCTGCAAATCTTGGACATTTTCTATGAAAAGGTTTATGATACCTTAATCAGCACCTACTTATGAAAGCAAATCCTAATTCTACTACAAGGATAAGGAGGGGTCACGGGGAACAAAATTATTCACCAACTACCGTCCAACATCATGAATTTGACTTGATACCCACATCACATGTTATTAACTTGGGATGTCATAAAAAGGCTTGACGATCATCTCAATAATAATATCAACATTTTCTTCTGGTTCTTGTATATTAAGCACCAGACCCAAAAGGTAAACTTAATATTTTAGACAATTAATGTTTTTAAAACTTTCGGCAATGTTTTTGCTCATCTAGATCTTAAAATAATAATAATACTCCTACTGACTCCTACTGGCAATAAATTATGTTTTTGCTTCGGTTGAATTGAATCCCTTTTAAATTGAGCATTATAATCAAGGTACGCCGTCACGCAAGAAGAATAATTAAGAATGAGGAAAATGTCCGGAAGAAGTTGAAATCCCATATGTTTCTCTGATGAGTGAAGTATAAAATAAGATTTAAATCCATCATAATCTCATAAATTATATTATTGTTTTAGGGCAGGCAAAGCTTCGCATTCATTCCAAAGTCCAAACCCATTGATTGCGATCTCTCTATGCCACACCTTTTACCCATTAATCATGGAGACAGATTCTCTATCGAATATTTTGTGTCTACTTTCCTATCCAGCGTAAAACGACGTAATTTAACTTATTATATCTGCTGATGTGGCACATAAAAATAGGTGACTGTTTGATTGTCTCTGTATATGTCTCATCTTTAATCATATATTCCAGGTTAGTGAATACTTAATTTACCTCTTTTGGTTCTAAATATGGATTTTCATGCACGAGATACTTGCCACTATAATCTATCAAATCTAGGATTGGAAAAAATTCATTAAACATTTTTTTGACATTAGATACATAGTTTGGAAGTATAAGATAACCAAACAGCCACCTATTTTTATATGTCACATCAGCAAATATAATAAGTGAAACTACGTCGTTTTACACTGGACAGGAAAGTGGACGCAAAATATTGGAAAGAGAATCTCGTCTCTTAATCATGGCAAGGAATCTGAATACTACTATTATATATCCATTTTAATTCATCCCTCCAAAAGAATTTCATCAATTACTCTGCCCACAATTTCACCAAATTCCTAAATTATACCACAACACTACGATGCACCGGGTGCGCATTACACACCCCAAGGCTATCGGCTAACATCGCACGCAAGCGACTGGCACGTGCCGTTCCTTTCACACACACTCCGACACCAAGGTCACATTCTCCCGGTGCGTAATACGTCCCCCCCCAGTCGGCGTACGCTAGTAGTTGGCAATTGCGGACCCCACTCACGGTTTTCAAATTTAAACGGATCAACTGATTATTTTTTTTTTTAAAAAAAAGTGTTTATTTTAAATAGAGCTTTTATTGAACAAAGGATCAAATTCCACCTTGCAGCCCCTCGGGTTTTGTCATTTTTTGCTTCACGCGTCGGATATTTGTGTAATTGCGCTTCATGACCGGAATAGTAATAATCAACCGACGTGAATTCAAGCATGTTGTCGGTGCTTCATATGGAAAATCCTTGCAATTTTATGCTTGAAGCCTTGCCTTCGATTCACATAGCACTGTCGAAATTTTTTCATTATCTCTTGAATATGTATATCGAATAGTGTGTACTATGGAGGGTTTGACTTACCTAATAGGAGAATGAAATAAATAGAAATTACAAACATCAAGAAAACAAGTAGTTGATTGTAATATTTAAAAATATTCATTTAATACGAACAATGTTATAATAACTATCCGTGGTATCACCATCATCTTATTGCATTTGATAATATTCCAAAAAAAAAAAAGATATATAAACTTTAGTAGCAGACTTTAGGTTTGGTATTATGAGGCAATATCAAATTAGGAACTGTTTGGCAGCATCAAATCAATGTTTTGAAACTCAGATTGAATCGATTGGTTCCACTGATCGAATTGCGAATTAACCATGCCTTCGATTTGATTCAATAAAAAGCTTAAAGAATCAATTGAATCGATCAAATCCAGTCAAAAATCTGTTGAAACGATAAAAATTGGTAAAAATCAAGAGATTCAACCTGTTTTTATTATTTTTTTCTAAAATAATGTATTTTAGTTTTGCTTAAAATTTTTATTATTAAATAAATAAATAATTATAACTAGAGTTGAAGCAGTTGAATTGATCGCACCACGAATCGAAAGGTTTTTCGGTTCATTATTTGGTCATAGTTTAAAAACATTGCATCAAATTAGGCACCAAGTAATTTTGGCAATTGGACCAAAAATTGGGATGCTTGTGATAATTTCAGGTCGTTGGCGTCAGAAGTACAAATTTTGGTTGCAAAACGAGAAGGGAACAGAAAATTTATGGGTGCAAAGCAGAATAAGACCTTAATTAACTTGCCACCTAATTTCCCCTCCATTTCCTCTGTCTCTCTAAAAACAGAAACAAAACAAAAATTTCTCTCTCTTCCGTCCTTGTCTTTGAAAGCTCCAGCTGGGAACTTGGAAGCCATTGTTAGGGTTTTCAATATTTTCCGCAAACTTTCCTCCGAATTACATAATTTCCCGGAAATCATCCAAGTTTCCGGGAAAATCCCATCTCCTGATTGAGAAGATTCAAGATTTTATTGGAAAATCAAATCTTTTTGTGAATCCTGTCTTGTTTCTAGCTGTTTTCTCGTTTCTTTTATTTCGGGGATATAGCAAGAGGAGGAGAATGCCGGGCCACAAATGGAAGCCTGAGAAACCGGACCCGGCTAAGCAGGTGAGAAGAGACCCGTACGAGGTTTTAGGGGTCACGAGGAACTCTACAGATCAAGAAATCAAGAGCGCCTATAGAAAATTGGCTTTGAAGTATGTAAATTTCTTGTTAAGCTATTTATGGGCTTAAATGTTTAATTTTGATGTTTTACTTCTTTACTTGCATTTTGGATTTTAGGTTTTTTGGAGGTTTTTATCTTTTGTGGGGTCCTGTAGAATAGTTGTAAAGATTGGATCTTGTTGCCGTTTGGGTTGGTTTAAATATGCAGCCACATTGCATTTTATAGTTTATGTTTTGTAAAAGTGAGGAACTGTTTTGGTTGATGACCAGAGTGATTGAAAGGTGTTTCAATTTATTTGAACAATACGGTTGTGAATTCTTGAGTTGACAATTAAGGAATACAACCTAATTGAGATTCTAGCTGTTTTATGTTATCCGAAAGTCCCAATTGGTAAAGATACTTGAAAGTTAAGAATTTGAAAGTAAAATTACAGTTCGAAGATGTTTCACTTTCCTGAAGAATCACCATGAGGGAGGGAGTAAGGAGTAAGGACAGTGTAAGGTTTAGCTGCTTCTTATTTTCGTGGTCTTTTTTTTATTTATTTATTTATTTTCATCCTTATGATTTATGACTAGTAAGAGGATGAACTGGAACTAAAAAGGTAAATTGATATACTAACTCCATAATTTTCAGATTAGAAGTGGTTATTTAGCTGAAATGTGTAGAACGTAAACATTTTTCTGCTTTATTGTGCTCCATTGAGCTGAAGAAGAGAAGAATATTTTATTTTCCAGGAAAATACTAGCAAAACCACAAAACAGATAATAAAGATGTGTAGAATATCAACTACTGCTGTCACTTGGTCACCGAGCCCATCTTCCAACTCTATTGCTTCTTCCAATTCCTCTCAAGTTTGTCTTGTTGCCTCTTTATTCATAGTTGAAATATATGTCTTAATGTAGAGCTACTGTAAGATGTTAGAATTTTTAGTTTTTGCTCTAAACGTATGCACTACTTTCTAAATCAATGACATATTTGTCCTCTATTGTTGCCGTGGCAGATGATTAATGAAAAATATCGTCATTGTAGTCAGATGATTGGTGCCTGTGTCTTTCTGGATGCATGTCATATTGGATGAATTTTCTGAGTGAAACTTTTTTTGTTAGTGTTAGCAATCCTGAGGTTTATATAATTTTAGGTACCATCCTGACAAGAATGCAAATGATCCTGAAGCAGCAGATATGTTCAAAGAGGCTACCTTTTCATATAATATTTTGTCTGATCCAGATAAACGACGACAATATGACACAGCTGGTTTTGAGGTAAACGGACTTGTACACATCTGCTGTTGGAACTTGATTTATGCATTGCTTTTGAAAAAAAAATTGTAATTTTCATCAGTATGATCATATGACACCCACAGTAAATCTAATTTATTTTTTGGCAGGCTGTTGAAGCAGAAAGTCAGGAGCTGGAGCTGGATCTTTCGAGTTTAGGAGCTGTAAATACCATGTTTGCTGCACTTTTCAGGTAAGCTTACATCAGAGCTTTTCTATCTGTTTGCTCTTTATCCATTTTGCGTTCAGGATTACAATTTTAATACAAGAATGACTTGCCCCAAACTAATTTATATCATTTGACGTCCATGCAGTAAACTTGGTGTCCCAATAAAGACTACAGTGTCAGCCACAGTCTTGGAGGAGGCATTAAATGGTGTAGTATCCATCCGGCCGCTTCCTTTGGGACAAGCTTTGTGCAGAAAGGTTCGATTCCATTCTCTATATTTAAGTGTTCATTCTCGTTAAGTATGTTCTGTTCATACCTTTTTTCTTCTTTTAACAGGTTGAAAAGCAATGTGCTCACTTCTATTCTGTTACTTTAACAGAAAAGGAAGCACAGGCTGGGTTTGTTTGCAGAGTGCACTCAACAGATAAAAGCAAGTTCAAGGTCTGTTGAAACTAATGCTAACATCTTGTAGGATATACGTTCGTATTGATTTGTTATATGATGAAAAGAGAGGCAAAAAAAAAAAAATCTGTATGGTCAAATCTTTGTGGTAAACAGAAGTACATAGTAGACTGACTGCAGAAAACTCCACCTTTTTAGATGTGAGAGTAGCTATTAAATTTTGATCGGGTCTTTCTAGTTCTGGGGCCCTAAGTGGTTGTGGGGTACTCAAAGTGGTGAAGTTATCATTGCTCAGATGTTAATGTAGGCCAATTTGCAGAAGAGGTTATCAACGCATATTTTGTATGAAGTTGACCCTTAAGTTATGTTTCCTTTCCAGGATTTTCCTATCTCTTACTGGTATTGGGGTCTCCCATATTTATTAAAGTTAAGGGCTTTAACCAATATTCCTTTTTTATCCGGCAATTGGACCAATTTTACTTCTATCAAGTAGATTTTGTGCGCAACATGTTCTGTTCTACTATGGTATATGCATCCTTATTTCTTCGATGTCGTTCATGGTTGGACTGTAGCACACATTTCAAACTGAAACTTTAGTTTTCTTTTTGATGATTGTCGCTATGAGTGCCCTAGAAGTTTGGTTTTCTTTCTGCTCGAGCTGCATATTTAGAACTGTTTAAATATTTACTCTTTCATTTTGGAGAACTGGTTTAAATCTTCTTCTGCTCAAGTGACCAAATATAGCCTAAATTTGTTTGAACAGGTAGAGACAAGAATTGCCAAATGCGACTTTAGTCTAGCTTTAATTTTCTTCTTGGAAACAACTACTTTTTTCGCTCTCTTTTGGTGCAATAGTTTAATAATTATTCATTTTGCTTGGGTAGCATTTCTTTTGTTACCAATTGAATATTGGCTTGTGCTGTATGACACTTGGTAAAGCTGTAATTTTTCACACAATAACTTGAATAAAGAGCTGAATGTTTATTTTCTGGAGGCATCCATTGTTCTAATTGGTATGCTTTTTGTTCTATGCAGCTATTGTACTTTGATCAAGAAGAAAATGGTGGATTGAGCCTTGCCCTGCAGGTGATTTTACCTTTTCTTTCTTTTCTTTCTGCAACTGGTGTTTTTGAAGAAGAATAAGTGAAGACACTGTAGAAACTCTGCATCAAACTTCTCCTTTTCTTTGGATTGGGAAAACTTATAAGTATGGTGCAAAGGGGCCAGTCTACACTCTAAATTTTGCCAGGAAAACATTGAAAGTTACTGGCTACTTTATTTGTTTGGTGCTGTCTTGTGGCTTCTTGATTTCCTGTACACTAATATTGGTTGGGTGTCTAATGAGTTGCTCTCTCAGTTGGTTATCTACAGTACATGGTGATAACACTTGAGTACTTGTCCTTGTTGTCTCTTTCAATTGTATTTTTTCTCTACTAAATATCATTGTCTATCTTTGTATAGGAGGATGGTGCAAAAACGGGGAAGGTTACATCTGCTGGCATGTTTTTTCTAGGTTTCCCTGTTTATCGCATGGATCACTCATGCAACTCGGTAAGCAAAGGTTTGTTATTCACATTCTTTTGCTCCTGAAGTTCTACTGTGTTACTGAAATCTGCTACTTGTTGGTTTCTTTTCACTTCAGATGGCAGCTGTAAAAGATCCAGATACTGCTTTTTTCAAGAAACTGGATGGATTTCAACCGTGTGAAGTAAATGAATTAAAAGCTGGCACACATGTATTTGCTGTTTATGGTACCTTCTCTTACTTTTACCTAGTCCATGTAATTGTATGTAAACCTTGTGCGACTATTTGTCTGACTTCACCTATATGCTGGAATACTTGGTGGTTAATGCAGGTGATAATTTTTTTAAAAGTGCAAGCTACACCATTGAAGCGCTTTGTGCTGCACCTTTCACAGAGGAGAAAGAAAATCTTCGAGGGGTGGAAGCTCAAATTTTGTCCAAAAGGGTGGAGCTCTCCAAGTTTGAAACGGAATACCGGGAGGTCAGGACTCCAGCTTAATTTTCATTGGCTGTTTCACAATTGGCTGTCTAGCTGACATTCCTCCTCCTGCTTTGGCAGGTACTAGCTCAGTTTACAGAGATGACTAGTAGATATGCACAAGAAATGCAAGCGGTGAGTTATTCCTTTTGGAAATTTCAGGATTGGCTTGTAATCAGGAGTCTTGTCAGGAGGACAATCCATTTCTGCATCAATCTGAATTGTTTCTCAGACTTCTTTTTATTATTTTACAGATCGATGAGCTTCTTAAGCAGAGAAATGAAATACATGCTTCATATACGGCTGCTCCCCCCATGAAGCGGACTGGTAGTAGTCGAAGTAAGAGTCGGAATGCTTCTAAGGACGTTAGTGAAGATGGCCATGTAAAAGACAAGAAGCCTTCGAGGGACCGATCAAAGAAGAAGAAATGGTTTAATATTCACTTAAAGGTGGATAAAAGGAAGTCTTGCTGATAGGGTGAGAAATTGAACATGTAGCTATCTTCATATCTTATTTCTACTCAAGCTCATTGGTTTTTGAAGTCCATGAAGAAACATTTGGAGATTTGGATACATTATATACCTGTGAGGTCAACTCTATATTCGCTAGTGAAACCTGCTGCGAGTGCTTCAGAGTTGCTCTGGAAAATTGAGGTGTAGTTTCCTGCTTCAGATCGTATCCAGTGATTGACAAATTTCCATGCTGTTATGTTGCCAAAGAATGTGGACACGTGAAGCATGGCACCATATTGTATTGTAAAAATCTCTCTGTTTTTCCCCCCTCTTGTAATTCTATACTTTTGGATAATCCATCATGCCTGTAAATTGCTCCATATATTGAAAATATTTTTTCATCAAATTTGATGAGCCTGGTGGTGGGGGGGTGTTGTTTGTGACAAGGCAAAAAGGGTAGAGCTATAATAATATAGCTGCTTCCAGTGTTGCGTTCTTTGATGTCCAGATCTAGATTATGTGGGAAATTCTTTGATTGTGGCTATGTTGCTTATCATGGGAACAAAGAAATGGAGGGAGATGGGGATGCAAGTCGCCATGGATCCCTCGTCACCAGATTTTATTGCGTTCTGTTTTTCATTGTTCGTTTGTGCTTGTTTTCAGTGGATCATAAAATAAATATTAGAATGGGAAAAACATTGAAGTGGTGAAGATCAAGAAAGGAAAATTCATTGTAGTGGTACAAGGAAATGTTCCAAGACTAAAACATAAGCAGGGGGATAAATCATTTCGGGTTATATACACCATATTGCTTCCTACTCATCTTGTCGACAACGTCATAAAATTTTGTTAGATTCAGAGTCTAAGATTTTCCTAACTGGCTTGGGGATTGTTGGAAGCATCGCATCTGTGCCTCACCTCTCCTTTTTTCCCAGTCTTGACGCTAAACACGCTCACCTTTTCCATTGCATGAGCGAAGTCTCTGAAGAATGCGGTCTGATTTGCTGCGTAAAGATCCACAAAAGGTTTAGCTCTGGGGTCAGACGCCAAAGCTTGATCAGAAACCAACACTCCTAATCCTTTCTGCAGGTTGGAGTAGTACATGTTGTCAAACTTGCCTGGTGTCATAACATCATTGAAGGCTGACATTTCTTCGTCTTTCGTGTAGTTAGCACATAATTTCTGTAACTCTCTGGCGAATTTAGGATTCAAGGATGGATCAAACTGCGAAGACTTGCTGAAGTTGAAAATCCTATGGCTAAATTGTGAACAGTGGGAGAATCCGATTGTATGGGCACCAGATAGCGCCACCATGTCTTTTACATCGAGCCCTCTCGATGCAAAGATGTTAATGATTTCTGTTATTGACATGTTAGGCGTCGCAAGATGGCCTTTGACATCTATGGCATGGGAGGTGAAGCTATCTTTCCGCCCAAGGCGAACATCATAGAACGGACCTCCAACCATTGTGACTAAATCTCTTGTAGCTACAGCCAGAATATCAGCACAGGAAACAATGCCAGGGCATCTGAGCTCGAGCGCAGTTTTGGCTCGCACAATGACGTCAAATCCATCACCGGGGAGGGATCGATTATCATCTGCATCTCGTTCAGCGTTGTTTGAGCTAGTGGAGGAGATTAGAAGGGATGCATCACATCCTCCGACCATGCAATCATGGAAAAAGAGGCGGAGAGTGGCAGCAGCTGTAGTTGGAGCTGCTAGTTGCTTGTCGGTGATTATTTGCTGTACAACATCAAGGAATGCAGGGCATGTGTTGCTGTAATAATTTAGAGAAAGCTTAGATTGTGCTGTGGGAATTAAGGTTATGGATGAAACGAGAAACAGCGGAAGAAACAAGGGCAGTATCATCATGGCTTCTGTATTTGAAAATTTTGGAAGAAAGCCGTGAGCAGGCCCTTTTCAGAGGTAGCTACGTCGAATAAACAGAGAGTTATGTGCTTGAATTTAGTGATGCATGGGACTTGGTTAGCTTCTCATGCAACGAACTTTTGCAAATTACAGGTCCAAAGATAATTCTGGCACCCGACTTTCCCTCGTTTCCTGTCAAATTTAAGCCATCATTTATATGCAGAGATCTCCACTTGTCCATTGTTATTCAGTTTCTTGGCCATGCATCGTTAATATTGTTGGATTGCACGGTTTCATACCTCAAATTTGCCTCCCAATAAAATAGTAGAAAGTTTTAATTTTATTAGTTATTACTGGAGGAGCCGTACGTTGATTATACTATGAATTATGATAGATAGAAAAGAATTGCCCGCCCTTAAAAGTCTGAAAGGGACCCAAAAAAGAAAATTGACCGCAACTGCCGATTGAGAGACAACTTGCCAACAATTTGTTACCCATATGTTTCATTGATGGAGGTTCTTTACCGTCTTGATTTCATTTTACTGCTTCTCCTTGTCTTAATCCTCCTATGTGTAATAATTTATATATATATATTTTTTTTTTGCATTAAAACGTGCACCTATTAAGCATAATAAGATCTTTCTTTTCAAATAGAACAAATTATTCAAGTAGTTGCTGAGCTTTTCGAATGGTATAATTTTGGTCATTTGACTTTTATTTATTTCTTGAACTATTAGAAGTATAAGTTTAGTGGCTGCTCGGCTGATTATGACATGACAACTTCAAAGAGTTTCGATTTCTTCAGTATTGATCCCATTGCACCAAATTATGCACGTTTTTATTTCTCCTACCTGCTCTCTCGCTGCCCTCCGTATTCCGTGCCCCACGGATAACATGTTCTGTGATTTGTCAACCCCAGGAGTCACAAGGATAATAAAATCAAAGAAAAGCTTTTCACCAAGAAAGTGGAGATGGGTCATCTTATCTCTATCCGGATGGACAAAGAAATACTAATAGCACTAGGAAGTATTAGTAACTTCAAGAAAATGATAAATCTCCAAGTTTTACTTATCGTGTTAGTATTGATCAGTAGTTTATCTGCAGCCATACCACTCAGCTTGGGTTTTCAGCCTGCAACTTTTAGTGATAATTGTTGTTTGAACCCATTTTTAGCTGATAAAAATGCATCCCTGAAAGACTGTGTAATAGGGTTGGCCAATGAACCGGAGATGGTGGAGTGGATGAGGAAGATAAGGAGGGAAATTCACAAGAACCCGGAACTTGCTTATGAAGAATTAGCTACCAGTTCTCTGGTCAGGCGTGAGCTTGAGGAAATGGGAATCAAGTACCGGTGGCCGGTGGCGAAGACCGGCGTAGTAGCTGCTGTTGGAAGCGGCTCTCCACCATTTGTTGCTCTCAGGGCTGATATGGATGCTCTGCCCATTCAGGTTAGTTATGCAATTGTAAAGGAGATTAGAAATTAATCTCTTGCCAAAACAAATAAAATTACTAACTAATTCTGATTGTGGATTTAACAAAATTGGCATTTTCCTGAGCTGCCGAGTATATGTATATCATGGTCAATTGTGATTTCGCTGCTCTAAACAATTCCAGGCAAAAATAGGGAATGGGAAAGCAGTCCTTGAAAACAGAAAAGGAAGAAAGCAAATATTTGTGTCAGGAGTTAATCATGACAATCTTTTAAACATTCCAGCAGAAGGAATCTTCAAATGACCACCAAAATGGTCATTTGAAGCAAGGTGACTACCCTCAAAAAAAAAAAAAAGAAAGCAAGGTGACTTCTTGATGGTATTTGTCAGTCGTACAGACCCAAATTCTTTGCTCATATTCTGGTTTCTGCTACTAGCGAGTCTTGGTAGTCATATCTTGATAGAGTCTCTGCTGTCCTCAATCATCCATGTTGCAGATAAGTTTCTTCCTTTCTTTCTTTTTTTTTGTTTTCCCGTTGATTGTGAAATCTTGAGGAGTTGGTGCCACGTATAATTTTGCAAGAGGTGAAGTTTTAGTTTTGGTCATCGTGACTCAGCAATAAGCAAAAAGGGTTAGATTTATATGCAGAATAATCCATTGTAACTTTGTGAGTACCATCTAAAACTCGAATCTCGTATGTAATAGTGAGGTCGCAACTTAAACTGCAATTTGCTACCCGCATGTAGGAATTAGCAGATCTGGAACATAAGAGCCAAGTAGATGGTAAAATGCATGCTTGTGGACATGATGCACATACTTCAATGCTTCTTGGTGCTGCAAGGATACTAAAAGAACTCGAAAGCAGCTTACAGGTTTGCACATTGCACAATTTTAAATCAAGAGAAGAGGCAAGAAGCATCTTTGCACTTGTTTGCAATTTCACAAAATTTGATCATTGACACAGGGCACTGTTATTCTCATATTTCAACCGGCTGAGGAACGAGGTGAAGGAGCGAAGGACATGATAAAAGAAGGGGTACTTAAAGATGTCGATGCAATTTTTGGTGTGCACATCATCCACAAATTTCCCATTGGTGTTGCTGCGTCAAGGCCAGGACAGTTTCTGGCCGGCTGTGGGAGCTTTAAAGCAATAATAAAAGGAAAGGGTGGTCATGCTGCTGCACCCCAAGAATCGATCGATCCCATTTTGGCAGCTGCAACATCTATCATCAGCTTGCAGCATATCATATCAAGGGAGACTGATCCATTGGATTCACAGGTGACTTCAAGTTTCGACAATTTCTTTCAAGATTGACCTAGCCAAAAAAACTGTGTAGTTCAAAAAATCTGTTGTAATTTCCTGGGGTTTAGCTAAGCGAAGCTAGAAGTTTCAGGTGGTTTCAGTATCAATAGTCCAAGCAGGGACCTCTTACAACGTTATTCCAGAATCAGCTACTATAGCTGGCACTTACAGGGCATTTGGTTGGAAGGGCTTCCGTGATCTAAGAGAGAGACTAGAAGAGGTAACTAACAGATGCTCTTCCAAAACACTGCTGAGGTTCAAGAAACTGAAGGAAGAAACTAACATCACGCTATTTTCCTGCAAATGCTAGGTTATAAAAGCGCAGGCAGCTGTACATAGGTGTTCAGTCAAGATTGACTTTGACGGGAAAGAGCATCCAACGTTACCTCCAACAGTAAATGATGAGAGAATCTACGAACATGCTCGACAAGTTTCAAATTTGATTGTTGGGGAGGAGAACACAAAAGTAGCAACTATCTTCACAGGGAGTGAAGATTTTGCATCATACTTGGAAAAGATACCCGGGTCTTTCCTCCTGCTTGGAATAAGAAATGAGAAGATTGGAGCTATTTATCCTCCACATAGTCCATACTACACCATTGATGAGGACGTACTTCCCATTGGGGCAGCATTACATACTACATTTGCCTATTCATACCTTCGAAATTTGTCAATGTGCTCTAGTTCATAGGGAGACAGAACTTTGAAGTTGGAATTCTTCATTATTGCTTAGTACATACAGACGTTCAAACATGGATCATATAGTCACTTGACTTCTTGACGAAGTCCCTGATTGACTGTTTTTCCCTGGTGAAAAAAATGCAGGGAGTGTATGGTGTATAAGATTTATCTTCGATTAAACGGTGAGTTGTTTAAGATTTTTCGTTACTCTCCTTTATATTAAGGTATAAGATTCCAACGCTATTTGTGCTTTTATACTTAGTTGTCTTATATTTATCTTTTGTTTATGCAAACAAATTAGATGTAATTATTTGCATAAGCAATTGTAAATCTAAAAGAGGTAAAGCAATTTTTTCACGTTCTTAACACTGAATGGATTATATTAATTATCATTCATCGAATCGGAGATAGTAGAAAAAGATCAAATGATCATAGGGGTTGACCACAACGATTTGTTCTTTTTCCCTCGAGTTTTATGCAATTGACAAGATTAATCCTGATAATCGAATCTCATTCGTGACTGACCATGCTGTTCTGAGTCAGGTTATTCATTTTAACAGTTCCGCTAGTTAGGCTTTTAACATGATTATCTCCACTCCAGCAGAATTTTGGTTACCTATCTAATCAGATCCGGGCTTTGAACTGTTAGGATTGAAATAGTTTGGATAATATATATACGAGCTTATGCCCCAAAAAAGAAAAAAGAAAGAAAACGTCGAGGCAGGAAGTTTGCTTCTTGACGTAGTGGGATCTTCATCAATCATTCCCATTATAAGGAAAATGAGAAGTGGATCCGCGATGGTTACCATTTACATATTTATAAGGCAGCTTACCACGTAGCAATTAGTCAGGCTTTAGGGAGAAATAATTGGTTAAAAATTCAAGAAAGTTTCTTATTATTTCTTTTATTTTTAGCAGGAAGGGGTGGGGGATTAAGAAGGGGATTAGGACCCAAGACCACAAAGTCAAGAAAAAAAATGTTTGCTGAGAACATAAGAAAACCAAAGAAATGAATCAAAGTTCTGCATTACCAGCATGTCGCAGTACTACAAGGATTACCACGTATCTCCATTCATTACAACCAAACCACTATTCAACGGTGAAAATGCAAAGACGGAAATGGAACACGGAAAGAAGTATAAAACCAAAAACCATCACAGACAAATTATTTTCGAGTGGGATTGATCTCAAATCCTTTCCCTGAATATTACGGCCAATGAAACCACCAAATTGAAGACAACAAGCGCAGCTGATGGGAAAGAATTGAGTACACCTACAGACGGTGGAGAAGGTGGAGAAGCAGGAGCCATGTGCGCATGGTTATGCAACCGCTGCAGCAGCCACCAAAATAACAAGACAAGCAGCAAATGGTATTGTTGAGAACCTGAAAGCCATGTTTTAAATTGGATGTCGATGAAATTGTCAGAGCAATCTTAGTTATTGCTTGCTCAATTTCGGGCGTAGAGATGATTGCAATCTCTACATGATCATATGGTAGAAGTAGTAGTACAAATGATTGTTAAGAACATTGCCGTACAACTTCCTGTACGGAAGCTGTGCAGATTGTACTGCATATGTATGTAGGACGAGGGGCCTCTGACGGAGACAACCGTCCCAGGCAGTTCACGGCTTGGATGAGACCTCAAAAATTTGTGCGGCTTAAATCACGTCTTGTAACTCGATTTTCACGCCGTATGGGATCCACAAAAATGTTGTTCTAATGTTACTCGCTGTTGTTCTATTATTACACCTTGTACAGATGATGTTACACCATGTATAAATAGTGCTACACTTTCCGGAGCGGTTGTTTTGGCAACCGCTCCAGCCCCGCATCCATGTATGTATGCATGTTCTTACAACCAAACCCTAGTTGACGTCAATTTTTATGTATGTAACAATCAACTAGATGCTGGATCCTCATTCTTTTTGTGAAAAGAAAAGGTCAACAATCATTTTACTAATGCAAGTATCATTATTATGTCTGCTTAAGCTTAGGCTGTGGCTCAGATTCAACCCCTTCATTTGAACAAATGTTATGGCTCAAATGAGGCTAGGTTATATAATAAATTCAATGATATTCGGGTGGAGATGACTTACTATTCAGATAAGACTAGACTATGGCTCATTGGACCAGTTAACACGCTCATTTTCTATCAGAATATGTTAAGCTTGGAGATGTACTGTCTTGTTTGGTAGGCAAGTTTTTTGCCAAGTTTATCTGTTACAAGTTTTTTAAAAACTTTAATTATAGTAACCTCAAAAGACTTTTCAAAATTTTTAAACTATACACTTCAAAATATTCAAAAATTTATACACTTCAAAAATTTTTTAAAAAAACTGCTACTATAAATTACAGTAAAATTTTAGATAAATACCAAAAAATCTCACTTATAAAAAACAGGGCCTACTTACATTAACGAACTAATTTCAGTATTGCCTAGATATAGTAGTCCCATATGTCAACCTCATGAAAAAGTAGACCTAGCCTTATTTGTCCCTTGATGAGTTTGATAATTTTTTTTCCCCCGTCAAAATGTCAGTTGAGTTTGATCATTATTGATTAGAAGTTAGAACAACCACAATGAGAAGAGAAGAATGATTGACTCGGTACAATACAATGCCATGAGTGCATTAGCTGAGGCCCAAGTGGGATTCTACTCTTTAAGGCTTAGTTTGGGAGTTTATGAAGGAAGAGAAAAGAAAAGAAAAGATAGCTTAGGAAAGAAAGGAAGAGAAGGGAAAAGATGCATATTTCGTTTGGGAGTTTAATGAAAGAAAAGAAAAGAAATCTCTTTCTCTTATTTGAGAGTTGGAGAGATATGGAAAGAAAGGATTTTATGATAACACAACTTTACATATTTGCCCTTTCTATTTGTAAATCAAAGTCCAAAAATTAGCTTTTTTGTTCCCATAAATAGATTATTTGGACAAGACAAATTTCTAAAACAATTGCATATGCATTCCCACAAGGTGAATAATACAACAAATTTCTTGCTGGATTTCGATTCTCTTGCATGCATGTAAATCGCCTCAAGTTTACCAGTAATTATTCGATTATCTCAATCTTCACTTCTTCACCACTTGATCCATCCTAATGTTTATAAATTTTTATTTGTTGATGGTTAATGCACTGACAAGCATGACGTTTGGCATTTAATATTGAAAGTTTTCATCATTTGATTTTTTTTTTTAAAGAAAAATCATTCCAATAAAGGTATTTGAGAGTCAAATATCAAATAAGAACTTGGGACTCTCAAATAGCCAATACGTTTGCAATAGCCTGGGAACTTTGGCTCAACTCCAAATAGCCTGGGAACTTTGGCTCAACTTGGGACTCTCAAATAGCCAATACGTTTGCAATAGCCTGGGGACTTTGGCTCAACTCCAGAGTAACCACATCCCAAACATATAAACACAGATAAAATATTTTTCTCAAAAAAGAAAGAGACTTTGGTTGTTAGCAAGAACCAATAAGTATATTTATTGGTTGAAATACAATATTACATCCCAAACATATAAACATAGATAAAATATTTTTCTCAAAAAAGAAAGAGACTTTGGTTGTTAGCAAGAACCAATAAGTGTGTTTATTGGTTGAAAGACAATATTACTAAGTGTGTTTACTCTGGAGTTGAGCTGGTACCATAAAATACATAAACAAGATATACGTGGAATGCAACCCAAGTCAATAAAATGCCATGCAACCAAGTAACTCAAAATATACATAAACCAGGTTTACATGGAATTCAACTAGATTTCTTGTAGCATTCATATTTCCGAAATTCACATGAGCATTTACTCCTGATACAAAATAATTCTATCAATTTCTAAACAAAAATACACCCAATGATCTACATATTTTCAAAACATGAAATGTCCAGTGAGTAATTGGAATCATCTCCAATTTCCAAAACTAGCTTATATCTTCAAAAGTATTTCGAACATCTGATAACATGCTCATGTAGACAAAAGTGGCTAAAATCCATTCATCAATTTGTTCAAAATATTCCTACGCCTTTCCGATGGGCACCCAAAGAAGCTTCTTACTTTCTCGATGTTTTGACAAAGGAACACATAATAATCATCAATCAGGTCTGTCTCAACTCCAATATTAACAAGTTCATCATAAATCTCTTTCTCTGAATATACCCGTGGCCTAGATTTTTCAAGAATAGTATTACCTTCTCTTAGTGCATCAGCAACATTGTGAAGTGCACCCTTCAAACTTTCAAATTCTTCATCACATGTGAATTTTCTTTTCTTACCTTGTGTTGCTGTTGTTCCTTGAGATTGTTTGTTGTTACATGCCTTTGATCGTTGTGCATCCAACTCCTTACTTGAATTATTGAAGTTCTCTAGACTGATCTCATTTTGACATAGCATGTCGTCAATCTCAATAATACTTTCAAACTGCACTCCATTTGGTTCATTCATCCAACACATACGTTTCTCTTTCGCTGTTTCAGCACCCTGTCCTGTTGCCCTATCTTTAGCAAAAAGTTCTTCTAAGCTGTCATAATGGTTGATAACTTTAGTCTTCCAACTTATAGCTTCAGGTTTTTCCTAAGAACATGAAAGAAATTTGAAAAACAAGCATCATTTCAATGATAAAATAAAAAGCAATAAAGAAAGTAAAACTGTCAAGCTAGCATATACCTGTAGAAGTTGTTCCCAAACTTCAGGTTCAGCGCACCAAGTTTTTGTGAATGGATTCCAAGAAAAACTACTCAATTTTCCATTTCTAAAGAAATCATAGGACTCCTTGAAGTGTTCCTTGAGTGTCTTCAATCGATTCTTCAAATGGCTTTTGGTAAATTCTATTCCAAGTTTCTCCTTCAACTCATTGATAATATTATTGTATGCAGTTGGTATAAAAGTTCCGTCCACACGAAATCCTTTATAATGCTGATCCAAAAGGGCCTGAATGAAGACTTCATCCATTGCTAGAGTCCATTTCATGTTTTCCTTCATAATGCTTGGATCTTTCTTCATGCTTTTCAAGTACACAAACTATATTTGTAGAAGAAAACATAACAAGAACAGAATTTATGTACGTGCAAAATAACAGTTTTATATTAATTCTATTATGAATACATGGTTCTATAGATCCAAAAACATACAAAATCATATTAGACAAAAGAAGATTCATGTGGCAACTTGCATTTATAAACTCACACTACTAATATAAGAGTACAAGTTAACAAAAGAAGGATCACATGACCACTTAAACAAAAGAAATTAGCATCAAGTCAAGTTATCATAGTATATAATCATTCCACATTTGCATTGCTATTTCATTCCTTAAACTCTCTCCTTGAGCATGATCTTTTTCAGCAGATATATCGCCACTTTCTTCCTCCGATGGAGATTGACGTGCCAATTCCTCATCCACTTCATTAATGTACTCCAAGTCAGGATCAAACTCCATGAGAAAATTATGTAATATACAACAAGCAAGCACAATTTGTGATTGTATTTCAACACTATAAGTTGGTTGAGTATCTCCAATGATTGGAAACCTTTTTTTCAAGACACCAAATGCTCTCTCAATTGCATTACGCAATGATGAATGTCGCAAATTGAATAGTTCTCGAAAGTTTTGCGATTGTTGACTTGAGTATTCCTTCAAGTGATACCTTACATTTCTATAAGGTGTAAGAAGTCCCCTTCTCAACATGAATCCAGCATCAACAAGATAATATTTACCTATACAAATATCAAATAGTTACTACTTAATTAAATGCACTAAGAATAATTAACTAAGTATTACCATTAGGAATGATTAATTTATCTTCTCTAGTGAGCGCATTTTTTATGATCCTCGAATCCGATGCAGTTCCCTCCCAACCGGGTAGAACATATGTGAATCTCATATTCAAAGAACATGCAGCTAGCACATTTTGTGTTGGATGCTCTTTTCTACCACGATATTTTGCCGCATCAACGCTGGACACTTTAACGCGAACATGGGTTCCATCAATTGCACCCACACAATCCTGATAGTTATACACTATGTTAAAATATAATTTCTATATGAATTTACAATTTTTAAAATAAGGTGTCGAAAAATTGATATCACCTTAAAATATGGATAAAATCTTGCACTATTAAGTATTTCCGGAGGAACTTGTTCTCCCGTAGGCTGGTGAAGAAATTGATCCTCCAATGCTATAACTGCTCGTAAAACTCTATGAAAATGACGACTAACAGTTTCTCCGGAACGACGATAAAAGTATGACATTGTGATATTTTTTGAGGGAATTGTTAATATATGGAGAAATTTAACAACTTGCTCTTGCACCGTGGCTCTTTGAGTAGGTTGTAGACCACCATGTGTTTGCAATAAGTCACATAAGTGCCTAAAAGTTTCTGGCCCCATACGGATAACCTTACTCAAATATCCATTTGTACTAAGTTGCATCAATAATTCCTCTCGTACTAAATGACATTGTGCAGACCGATATCCAATGGGTCGATCAACATAACTTGCATGACTTAGTTTTCGAGCAAGTATCATCTTTATTACATGACAAACAATTTCAGTAGCAACTAATTGTCGCTTCCTTTGTTGAATGTCAAATTCTCCATCGACTTCATTTTGTTCCTTATCCATCTAAAAAGATTTGTAATAGGATACTAAATTTACAAATGAATAGATAATTAAAAAATAGATTTTATTTATTTACAAAGGTTATGGCATCATTATCAAGTACAATGCTAAAACTCTAAATATCAAGTTCAATGCTAAAATTCTAAATATCAATAGAAGAAGGAGTTCTCTAATAGTAATGTTTTTAAAGTGTTGACATAATCTATAGTAAATAATAAGAATAATGTAACATCCTAATACATAAAAGATGTTTTTAAATGAAGGTATTGAAACATAAATACTATTTTGTCTATTCAAACTTTATTGAAAAATTCTTCTTGCTCTAAATGAAGTTGATCAGGCAATATAAATGATGGTCAGTCCTAGGTTCAGTTCATACATTGCATAGAGAGAGAGAGAGAGAGAGAGATGTTTGTGCATTGTGTCTCTGTGTTTGGGCAGGCTACAGAGAGTTGGGGTCTCGGTACGGCTTGGTTTGGCTGCATGTGAAGAACCAATATCAAGAAAAGCAATGTGGTGCCTTTGAAGATGTAATGTTCTCTTGGGATTTTGCACGTACATAATTTGTATGACCATTATAGCACTCAATTCTTGTGAAACTTTTTTTTTGCACCGTGAGTATCTATTAACAATGTAGGATTCAAAGTTTTTTTTTTATCTACTATATTGTATACTTGATTAATTTATTTGTAATAACAGAGCAAGGTATGAAAATTTAAAGAATGTGTCAAGTTTGTCGAACTCTGTGGGTTTGAGATAATTGAATTCCGAATTTTTGTACCTACCTAAAGACAAAGTTTACATGGTCAGACTTGCAGAAGCTTCGGCAGTTTTAAACTTTACTATTACCAATCCTTACTTTGGACTGTTTTCAAGGCAATTTAAGGCTTATTATATACCCAGGATCGTAACTTGAGCAGGGACAAGCATGAAACCTCTTGGGGATGATGAATAAGGAGATCTCTAATTTTGTTTTTGAACATCAGCCTCCATTCAAAACAATACTTCTAGTATTACTATCTTTGTAATCATTTCAAAGAAACATGCATTATTACAATAACAGGGGCTAACATATTGTTTATGGACTCTGTGTTGATCATTTTACACTTTGAAGCTTACACAGGCAAATAAACAAACATAATGTATGCATTTAAATTTTATATTCATGTATCACCACCGAAACTTACATGTACCATAACCATACAAGATATAATCACAAATCAATAATATAAAGATCAAGATTTCCCGCAGACAAGAATTTTATACAGAAAGTGAACAAAAAAATTTAGAATATAAACAATAACAATCTACAAAAAAAAAATGCTTTTTCCATAATTTTCTAAAGAAGATTGAGCAAAGAAAGAAAGAAAGAAGAAATTGAGTCAAAGAAATACCTGTTATTGAATTGTAGGTGTTGAACGGAAGAAAGCCAAGTGAATCCAGTTGGAAGTATTGAAAGTAAGAACTGAGAAAAAGATGAATCGGTGGTTTTACAAATGACCTTTAGGATATATTGGGAATAATAAATTTTTGTATCAGCTTTTAAGGGACAAAAATGTCATATTAAAAATACCTTTTGCCGCCTAACAAGTTTCCGTCCATTTCTTCCCACTTTTGGGCGGAAAAATTTTCACCAATTGGAAGGGGTCCTATCCGTTCATTTCCCTTCTTTTCTGTCCATGGTAAAACTCCCAAATGAAGGAAATGGTACGGCTTTCTCTCTGGTCACTTTCTTTTCTGTCCTTTTCTCTCCATCCAAAGGAAGCCTAAAGCATCAAGGAGGAAAAGTAAGACTGGGCTTGAATTTGTAATTGTAAACAACTGCAATTTCCCGTACCCATTTCCCCTTTTTATTGACGTAATTCAAAAAAAAAGGAAAAAAAGACATAAGATATCCTTTTTAAGTTCCATGCCTTGGGTAATATCTTTCAACTACCTTTTTTCTTTTTAAAAAAGGATTAACTTATTGTGCGCTCTTTTTTTTTTTCTCTAAACTTAGTTTTGTGTAAAGTGCCAAATTTTCTCTATTGATTTGCAAACATTCCACAAAATTTTTGCCAAATTTCAATTAGATGGTTCTTTTTACTATTGTCTCTTTAACTTACAATCATATCTTACGGCGAACACTTCAAGCATATGTACTAGTAAATGTATCAAACTAACGAATTTTTGATGAAATAGTATTTGCTACCGTTGTATTTCATATTAAGTAATCAAATTGTTTGTTAAAAAAAAAACTACTAAGTACCACAAACAAGGATGAAGACAAAAAGTGACTAAAGAGTTGAGATTAGTGATAAAAACAAGAAAAGAAAAGAATAGAGCATGAGTAACAAAACCTTAATTATGGGCCATGGTAGAGCTAAACTTCCATTAAATCTTTTCCAAGTGGCCGTCCTCCCAAATTTTACCTCCTAAAGCCCACTTGTGATCCAATAAGCAAAAGGCCGAATCCATCCCAAAATCAAAATTTTATAGACAATTGTATATAGCACTCTCTCGTTATCAGTCATCACTGTTCTGTACTCTTCTGCTACTCTATCCCCTTCTCTGCAGCACTTCCTTCCCCGCCCCCGCCACCCCCTCCACCTCCCTACCACCCCCTTCCGACCAAAAAAAGAAAAGCCTTTCGGCTTTCTATGCAAATGGGCTCCTCTACAGCGCTATCTTTACACTCTCCTGCGAAGGTAATCTCAAGACCCTTCCCCCTACCACAAAAAAAAAAAAAAAAACAGAATTAAGTACATACTAGTGCAAAACTGCTTAAAAATTCAATTGTTCCCATTGTTTTCTGGAAGTTACAGATTAATTTGTGGCAGCATAAATGGAATCAAACGCTACAAGATGGCCAAGCATTAAGTAGCTCATCGCGCTATTGTGCTGCGCGGGGTGCTCAGTTATTTCCATTTGCTCCACTCAATAGAAGAAGTACAAGAAAAATATCCTTGACCGTTAGAGCGGCTTCCGGCGGTGTTTCCCGGCGGTCGGCGAGCTCTCGAAGAGTTTACAGAGAATCCCAAGCTCAAGCTCCGGCTCTTCCTGCGCCGGTTATGCAAATCGCTTCTTTTATTCTTCCAGCTGGTGCATTCATTGTTGGCACTTTTGGTATGGCTATTTCTTTCTTTCTTCATTATTTGTTTTGGCTTATTGCTTTGTTAATCTTTATTTTATGGTCTTTAATTGGAGTGGGCTTGGTTTGGTTTAATTTCTATGCATGATGGAGAATGTGAATTGATGGAGAATGTGGTTGTCTTGATTGAATAGCTAATTAAAGGTTCAGTTGTTAAGATAATATTATGCTTTAAATTTATTTTAGCATATTTTTAGCGTACTGAACAGTGATGCGTCTTTCACTCTATGCTGTTATATGCATTTTGCACTACAGCTAAAAGAAGCACCTTTTTTTTCCTGTTTGATACACCTGGGACATTGTTTATCTTCCAAACAGCAGATCGTGATAAGTTGTTACCACTATCAATGGCCAGAGTGTGTCCTTTTAAAAAAAAATTTTCCAATTGTTAATAGTTTCTTAATACTCTTGTTGGGTGCTTATATGAGTCAGCTTTATAGCGTTACTCTTGCAAGTATGAAACTTCGGGCGGCATAAATGTGATCTGGGAAGGTAGGAACTAGGAACTACCTGAAATAGCAGCTCATATGTGCCCAACTAGTTTGGTCAATAATGTGATTGACCTCGGTATACACATCTTGCTAGAGTTATTTGTGCAACTTTTGAATATTGAGGAATTATAATAAATGAAGAACAGTGATTGGTTTTATTCTAAATAGAAACATGTCTCTTTGAAAGTGCTCTTTGGCTGTTGTACTTCAAGTTTTCATTTCCTGTAATCCTTTTGCAGTTTCAAGCCAAAGAAATTTGATTTTGATCATATTTTGTAGGAATGGTCTATTGAGTACTGAATTTTCTGTAAGAATGTGCTTCAGCAAGTAAAATTAACCTATGTGATAGTGAAAGTAGGTTTCATTGTAATAACCATTTTGCTTCTTTGCTCTAGGGTTTACTTCATTTCGTTGTGTATATTGATACTTACAATAACATGTCATTTTCTTGATTTTTTCTTCCATTTTGTCTTTTCTCGACTCATCCTTTAAAGTGTAAAACCTGCATTTCCCCCTTTTTTGGTGGGTAAGATTGGTGTCAACAGGCGATTGTTTGGCAATTTGATCTCACCAATCTGTAGATCCTATGTCAATTCTCTTAGATTGCTTCCCTAAACAATTATTCATCTAAAAAATAAAAAATATTCTCAAGGGGTCTACTAATTTGTTTTTTCAGCTGACAGTTCTATGGAAATTGGTGGAGAAAGTCCTTGTGCCAAAACGAAAAAATTCTCTGTCAGAAGAAAACAGATCTTCTCAAGGTGTGAAATGGTCCTTTGCTCCTGGGACCAATCTATTATCTGCTTTTGGTGCGAAGGTTGAAATAGAATCCAAGCAGAGGCTAAATGAGTTTGCCAAAGAACTTCGGTTATTCAGAACAGTTGACATGTCAGGTAATGTGGAGTAATTGCCTTATCTAGCTTCAATGAGTTTTCATACTGCTGCTTGTATATTGCATTGCCTTGAACTCCATATCTATTATTACATATATACATGGATATTGAAATTTGTTTTATCACACTAGTGAGGAACTGTATTTTCACAATTACTTTCCTTTGTTCTTGATGTTCTGCCTTGCTGATTATCCAAATTGGCGCCCTAGTTCTCTTTTCACAAGTATTTGAGTAAATTATGTTGTCCACATTGTACATCCTAACTTGTGTTAGCTTGCTGGGTTAACTAAATCTTTCATCTTATTCGGCAAAATACATCATCTTTTGATATTAGCAAACTGTTTTTTTTTTTCACAGAATTTTTGGTTTGACTTACAATAAGGTTTTGGCAGGCCGTAACTTTGGTAATGATGGACTTTACTTTTTAGCTGAGGGCTTGGCATACAACCAGGTATAAGGACTGACAGTGGCTACGTATGCATGTGCTTATTTGGTAGCAATAGAAAACAGAACACCATAAGCAGGAGTAATATGTCCATTGAAAACTGAAAGATCCAACCATGTTGTCAAATTATGTAAGTAGTCCTGGATTATGTAGCAATGATCCCTTGATTTGTGCTTCTGTTCCTCAGACTGCTGAGGAAGTCAGCTTTGCTGCTAATGGAATAACTGCTGATGGAATAAAGGCTTTTGATGGTGTTTTGCAATCCAATGTTGCCCTAAAAACTCTGGATCTCTCGGGGAATCCCATAGGTGATGAAGGAGCTAAGGTAACAATGCTTTTTAAAAGTTCTATTTGGTGAATGTTGTCCTTGAATTTGCATTTTAACTTTGAGATCTTCTTTGATGAGATATGGTTATTCAAGCTGTTATCCAGATGTTCATTGGTTGCGCATGACAGCTAAGATTCTCATTTGTCTACTTTGACACTTTGAGATCCATGCTTTAACTGTTTAAGATCACGTTGCTTCTGAAATTCTTGTGTTTCTCTTTTTTGTGGTTTAACACCCGGAGAAACTGTTGTTAGGCGGGGCACACAAGCTGGCCAATATGTTTTTCTTATATGTCTATTAAGGGGGCTGCATATGCCGCTGTTGCACAATTCTCCTATAGACTTTATGTCTGTATTATGTTGCATGGACACAAATGCAATGCTTATACAGGCTGGGACCTGAACATTGGATGCATGTGTACTATTTGAATTATTATAATTCATAGAAGAGTCCTGATGAAGTTTGTCTTCAATTTTTTTTCTGTTTTCTTTTTCTGGTAATAGAATCTAGTTCATCCAGAAAGTGGCCACTGAGAATTGCTTTCCATTTCTTTTGAGTTTATGTCTTCTTGTTAAGTGAAGTTAGTTATAAGTCTTAGTATGTATGAATGATGCTGTTAGTAACTGCTCAGACAAAATTTTTTAACCAAAGCTGCTGCTAGACATTGGTGACCTTTCTTTCCCAGAATTTTTGGGGCGATATAATGTTTAAACATTCTTCTTTGCAGTACTTACGTGATGTTCTGTTGGAAAATTCCAGTATTCAAAAGCTTCAGTTGAACAGCACTGGATTGGCTGATGAGGTTGGCTTCCTTTAACTTCAATGTGGCATGAGATTTCTGCACATATTTTAATACAAACATAAGCTAAAAAACTTCATTGAAAATAATTTGCTTACATGAGATCACCTTCATTGCAGGGAGCAAAGGCTATTGCTGAGTTGTTGAAGAAAAATTCAGCTTTGCGTATTCTTGAACTCAACAACAATCTCATCGATTACTCGGTATGGTTTTAATGTCATTTCCACTGTCAATGCTATATAGATTAATCTTTATCTTTACTAAACTTCTTCTTCTGTTGTTTATTTGGAAATGGAGGTAGGGATTTTCAGGCATTGCTGAAGCACTTCTTGAGAATAAAAGCATACAGGTCTTGTATCTCAAGTAAGTAGATCTCATAGGAGATATCTCCCTTTCCTTGTAGCGTTGGTTATACATGCTCCCTTACACATAAGAATGAAGAAGAGTTTTCTCAAACTATATATCAGGCCAAATGGTTTTTAATTAATTGCTCCTGAAAATTCGGTTTACT